TATAATGTGCAGATTTATTTGGATCCAGATTCAAACAAACCAATGGGCGGGGGTGGGGGGAGATACTTATGGACCATAATGTCCAGCATTCAGCTTCAAAATTGTCTGGGAGAAGTGGGCGGTGATACATGAGATGTGAGAGGCTAGTTGTTGAAGCTCATTAATGGGTAACATGGGGATTCATTCTATTATTCCTCTACTCTTCTGCTTGCCTGAAATAAAATAAAACTATTGTGCTTGGAAAGAGAAAAACAATTGGAGGATCATTGGGGAAATTTGAACACCGACGGGATATGTGGTAACTTGAAGAAATGACTGCAAGTTTTTAAAGGCTTGATAATGGTATTGTGGTTACATAATGTTTAAACCAGAGAAAGAGATGACTGCCCTGACAGGGATCACAACAGAAGGTCCCAGACAGACCTGGAGAAAAACATAGAACAAAATTCTAACTCACAAAAAAAGACCAGACTTACGGCCTGACAGAGACTGGAGAAACCCCAAGAGTATGGCCCCCGCACACCCTTTTAGCTCAGTAATGAAGTCACTCCTGAGGTCCACCCTTCAGCCAAAGATTAGACAGGCCCATAAAACAAAATGAGAGTTAAGGGGCACAACAGCCCAGACAAGGTCTAGAAGGCAGGAGGGGACAGGAAAGCTGGTGATTGGGAACCCAAGGTCTAGAAGGGAGAGTGTTGACGTGTCATGGGGTTGTTAACCAATGTCATAAAACAATATGTGTACTGTTTATGAGAAATTGTTCTGTAAACCTTCTCCTAAATTACAATTTGAAAATTTATTTGAATAAACACATATAAAACTCCTTGGCAAATAAAAGAGAGAGAGAGGAGTCCTTATCTTCTAGAGACACTGGACTCAAGTGTTTCTGGATGAAATGTCTAGGGTTGCTTCAAAATAATCCAAGGGGTTCAAGGAGGAGTGCTGGGATGCAGTGTGATGGATCACTTTTGTGAGGCCTTTCTAACCATGGTCTTGTAACTCCCACCCAAGTGATTGGGGGGGACTGTGCAAATAAGGCAATTGTGGCCCACCAAAGGGATTGGTCAGTTTTGCCATCCTTCTGGGCTTCAGGTGAGCCTTCCCAGAGGCAGGAAAGTGAAAATCCCACCACTACCAAGAAAGTAGAGCCGGAGAAGCAGTGGCAGAGGAACAGCGGCAGGAAGAGACTGGCAGGAGACAGTGCAGTGGGCTTCCCTGCCCACAGAGCCAGAAAGCTGAGTGCCTTTGGGCCGAGGCTTACTGGCAGAGTGGGGTGTTTCTAGGCACCTATTGGCAGAGCTAAAAGAGCTTTGTAACACTTGCCCAAGCAGGGTGGAGGCCGAGGGGCCAGAGAAAGGCGTGCCTGCGAGCACAGCTAGGAAGAGGCTGTCTTGATGGGAAGAACTGTATCCTGGGTGTTTCTGAGCCTGAACTGTAACCTGTTACTTCCCTAGTAAACCCCATAATCATGAGTATTGTCTGTGAGTTCTGTGTGGCCATTGCAATGAATTACCGAACCCAGAGAGAAGCAGGGAGTGTCGTGGGAGGGACAGTTGGTGTCACAATTGGTAAAGGTGGTGGAAAGAGGAGGGATGTCTGACCTCCGCTTCACAGGAATCAGCCTTGGGCTGTTGATCTTGATTCTCCTTCTCCCACGCCGTTTTTACATAGGGGTGATGGTGAAACAAGATGGGCTGTTCCGAACCTGGGCGATGGGAATATGGAGGTTAGTTATACTTTTCCATCCCTTTTATTTTGTGTATGCCTGAAATTTTCCATAATTTAAAAAAAATGGTAAAAAAAAAAAACCCAACTATTGTATATGAAAACCTAAACCAGTTTGTGGTCATTTTCTGCGTGTCACTTCCCGTGTTTAAAACCCTCCCTTGGTTTCCCACTCAACCTTCCCAACTCCCTGCCCTCGAGTTCTACACTCTCTCATCATTCTTGGTCTTTCCATTATAGAGGGCTTCTGGCTGTTAATTCTTTCAAGCATTCATTCGACACAGATTCCTTGAAACCTACTGTTCTATGCCTTGTTCTGAATATTGGGGACAGAGAGATGAACAAATTGTCCTCACAGAACATACATTCTCAGGGGAGACAGGTATACAGTGTTACTGCATACGAGGGGGACAAGACAACAGAGTGATGGAAGGAAGGGGGTCCATGAGATAGAGTGGGCAGGGGAGGACTTCTGTGGCGGTAACATTTAGCTGAGATCTGAGGGGAAAGTCGGTCAAGCAAAGAGATGGAAGAAAGGTCTTGGGGACAGAGGGAACAGCTAGTGTAAAGACCCTGGGGTAGGATTAAGAACGGCATATATAAGAACTGGAAGGATGGCCAATGAGTCTAGAGCGTGGTGTGACGTTTTAGGCGAGATCACAGGATGCCCCTTCCCACCTGTAGGTCTGTGCACTTATTATTCCTGGAATACGATTGAGAGCTCAGGCTGCTAACCAAAATGTTAGCAGTTCAAATCCACCAGCCGCTTCTTGGATAATCCTATAGGGTCGCTATAAATCGGAATCAACTCAACGGACGGTTTTGGGATTTTTTTGGTTTAGTTTAATGCACAATAAAAACAACAAGGAAATATTAATAACATTTATTGAGCACTCTGTATGTTAGGCACTGTTTTAAATACTTTTCATTGACTATGGTATTTAATCTTAACAGCCCTCCATTTTATAAATAAGGAAAATGAGGCCCGGAAAGATGAAATGACTTGCCCAAGGTCACACAGCTACAAACTGGCATTGCAAGAATCTCAATCCAGTTACTCAAGCAATCTGAGTCCGGGCTTAAATACCCCGCCAGGTAACTCCCACCCATGGCTCCTTGGGCTCGCGTGAGCCTTTGGAGACCCACCCATGCAGAGGATTTTTATGGGCACCTCATAGTCATTCCTAAGACGGGCGGGAAACTGCACTGTCACTCCCCCGGGAAGGGCGCCAAATCGCGTCCCACCCGGGACTTCGCACTAGACGCTCCAGCCTTCTTCGGAACGCCAGCTGAAGTACTTTGGGACCCGCCCGAGTCCCCGGAGAAGGCGGAGCGTTGGGGGAGGCTGAGAATCTTCAATCACCCAATGGCGACAGGGGCCGGAGCGCCATGCAAATAACGTCCCTTTGATTGGGTGTTAGTCTGCTCTCAGCCCGGAGACATCCCGCCCCCCTTCCTCTCCGGAAGAATCTACGAGACGTTTTTTGCAAACCCCTTGAAAGGCCTAATGCGCAGCGGGGTCTGAAAACGGCCTCCGGAGGTGGCACTCAGCCCCCAGCGGAATTCACGGAAAGACCGAAACAAAAACAACCAAACTGGTTGCGGTGCAATCGAAACTGACTCTTAGCGACCCTACAGGACAGAGTAGAACTGCTTCACAGGGTTTACAAAGAGCAGCTGGTGGATTTGAACTGCGGACCTTTTGGTTAGCAGCCGAGCTGTTAGCCACTCCGCCACCAGGGCTCCTCAGGAAAAGACAGGGCACATAATTAAGCAGGAGGGGGAGGGCTGGGTGTGCAAACGCTGGGAGCCGTCTCAGCGTTCCCTAAGCGCGGTTTTTTCATGTTAGGTCCTACACGAGCATGACTCCAGTCAGCCACCGTAGGCCCGCCACCTGCTGTACACACTTTCCTACTGTTCGGCGGCGGGTAGCTTCGCGCTTGCTCGACTCGTGAGCGAGTCGGCCTGCCTCCGCATCCACCCGTTTCTTCCGTTTTGTCTGCCTGGGCCGCAGCCTCTGCTGCGCATGCGTGCCGGCACCCTCTCTGGCTCAGCGTGGCAGTAGGGAATGAAAATGAGGCTGGGCCGAGCAGCTCGCGCACGCTCCCACCCCTCTTCTCCCCCGTCGCCGTGCGCGCGCCGGGCAGTGCAGCTCTGCGGGGTCCGAGGGCAGCGCAGCAGCAGCAGCGGCCGCTGCGGGAGGGGCCCGGAGCCCCGCCCTTGGGGGGGGCCGTCCCGCAGGTGAGGGGGGCAGGGGTCCCCACCCGGACGCCTGGGTCCTCGGGAAAAGGATTGGGGATAAACGCCACAATGTCTAGAGGGAGGATTGAGGGGGTCCGGATGCTTAGGCTCCGGAGGGATTGTGCATTGGTGCTTGAGCCCTGGGAGGGTGCATTGGGGCTCGAATGCCAGGATTCCGTGGGGTGCATTGAGGCCCAGACTCTTGGGACCCCGACGGAGAAATTCATTAGGGGTCTGTTGGGTCTTCCTCCAGGTCTCCCCTCTGTCTCCCACGACCCCAAATCCGCGCCGGAGATAAAATTTAGCAGCAAGCAAGCAGTTGACGTGTTGTCGATAGACTGAGACTAAGCTGGGTAAAGCAACCTCTTCGACGTGAAACCCCGCCCACTGCGCTCATAGGCCCCTCCCCTGGGACAGAGTCGCCAAGCCCCGCCCACTCCAGTCATAGGCCCGCCGCAGGTCCGAAGTGCAGAAACCGCGTCTTTGGGTCATATTTACATAGCCCCACCCACTACCGTCTTCAGCAACGCCTCCGGCCCCGCCCATTCTGTGTAGGCCCTGCCCACTACACTCTCAGGACGTCTGCTAAATTTGCCCTGCAAAGTTTGCCTTGTGGTTCAAAGGCTCCAACCCTGGGTCCGAATTGCCAAGAGCCTGCAGCTGGGTCAGATTTGCATAGCCCCGCCCATTGTGCGCTTAGGCTCTGCTTTCCTGATACTCCGGCCCTCGCGTTAAACCCCCTTCTAAAAAAAAAACAAACCCATTGCCATGGAGTCAATCCTTACTCTTAGTGACCCTATAGGATAGAGTAGAACTGTCATGTAGGGTTTCCACGGCTATAATCTTTACAGAAGCAGACAGCCACATCTTTCTCCCGCTGATTCTCCCGCAGAGTGGCTGGTGAGTTCGAACCCCCGACCTTTTGGTTAGCAGCTGAGCGCTTAACCACTGTGGCGCCAGAGCCCGTTAGGATCCTCGATTTCCTCAGACCCAGCTCCTAAACAGACTGACCTCTGTCTTCAGGGTCTCCAACTCTATCATCATCTGCCTGGTAATCACTGGTGTCGTCCTCTGGCCCCCAGGCCCTGTTTCTAGGTCCCTGGGCCAACAAGATGCTGGAGCGAGGCGCAGAGGCCGAGGCCCGGGTCACCGATCCTAGTCCCACTGACAAGGAACCAGTCATCAAAGGAGGAGGTGAGAGCATCCCCGCCTGTGGGTGGAGGCATCCTCCAGGAAGATAATCCTCTGGGGGCCTAAGAGAATCACATTTTGGGGGACTCTCAGGATGAGTTTGAGGGCCCAGGGTAATGACCACTTGGGATCCCCAAATTTTACATTGACTCTGAGGCTCTTAGTGATCATTTGCCCTAACCCAGGAAATTGCAGGAGGGACCGCAGGATGGAATGTGGAATTTCAGGGTGATTACTTGAGAGGATACTGGAAACTGACACGTTGGGGGAACCCTTAGTAGTTTGGGAGATCCAGGTAGGTGACTGTTTGGAGACTCTCAGGATGATGCATGCCGTTCGGGGAATCTCATTGCGACGCTTGAGGTGCCCAGACACACTTTGTAGGGCCCCTCAAAGATCAAGGTGGTGGGAGGCCTGGCCTTGGCTCGGGTGTAGGCTGCTTCCTGGAGCCCACCAGCCCTCCTGTCCCCCAGTTCCTCACCAGGGCCCGCCGCAGAAGCCCAGCCAGTCTGCTCCAGGGCCCGCCGCGTCCGAGGGAGTGCCTTCCCGACCCCGCCGACGGCCCCCGCCCCAGCGCCCGCACCGCTGCCCCGACTGTGACAAGGCCTTCTCATACCCATCCAAGCTGGCCACGCACAGGCTGGCCCACGGCGGTGCCCGCCCCCATCCGTGCCCTGACTGCCCCAAGGCCTTCTCCTATCCGTCTAAGCTGGCGGCCCACCGCCTCACGCACAGCGGCGCGCGCCCGCACCCGTGCCCACACTGTCCGAAGGCCTTCGGCCACCGCTCCAAGCTGGCGGCCCATCTCTGGACGCACGCGCCATCCCGCCCCTACCCGTGCCCAGACTGCCCTAAGTCCTTTTGCTACCCCTCCAAGCTGGCGGCCCACCGCCACACGCACCACGCCACCGATGCCCGCCCCTATCCTTGCCCACACTGCCCCAAGGCTTTTTCGTTCCCCTCCAAGCTGGCCGCCCATCGCCTGTGTCACGACCCTCCCACCGCTCCCGGCAACCAAGCCAATGCCCGGCACCGCTGCTCCAGCTGCGGCCAGGCTTTTGGACAGAGACGCCTCCTGCTCGTTCACCAACGCAGCCACCACCAGGCGGAGGGCCAGGGAGACCGGGAGTGAATCCTCGTCTGGCTCACGGGCCCCCTCTGCCGCCAGCCCGCATCAATGACGAGGTAGGATTTCTAAACCCTGCTAAGAGGACTTGCCGCTTCCAGATGGCCAGCCGGCAGGAAGGAAGAATGGCTGAACTCCAGCGTGGAAGGCTGGGAGACTCTTTGCTTACCTGCTTTGGGGAGGGGAGATGTCATCCACAAAGGGTGAGTGCTGGGCCCAAAACCATGAACCTGGAGCTGTGGTTTGACAGCCCTAGCTTTGATTTTTCCCACTCATTTATATGACAAAGGTAAAAAGTCGGCTAGCATTGTGGGGTGGTGAGGATTGTGGGGAAGAGCCTTTCTCCTTATTGTTGTAAGTTTAAACTGCTGCCTCCACTTTGGCCATTTGACTGTATCTGTAAAAAGTCAGGCATTCATTGACGGTTCAGTGGTAGAATTCCCACCTTCCATGTGGGAAACCTGGGTTCAATTCCCGGCCAATGCCCCTTCTGTGCCGTGGTGGCTTGCATGTTGCTATGATGCTGAACAGGTTTCAGCGGAGCTTCCAGCCTAAGACGGTGTAGGAAGAAAGGCCTGGAGATCTACTTCTGACAATCAGCCAATAAAAACTTTATGGATCACAGCTGTCCGATCTGCAACCAGTCTTGGGGATGGGGCAGGGCCAGGCAAGCGTTTCCTTCTGTAGTGCGTGGGGTCGCCATGAGTTGGGGGCTGATTCCACAGCAGCCAACAACAAAGTTTAAAATGAACCTGTCAAGTATTCCACATCTAGGAATTTGGCCTACAGATAAAACTCGAGAATGTGAAAAGACACACAGGTACGGAATTTCACTACAACATGATGGTTTTGGTCAAAGACTGCAAACAATCAATATGGGACCAGCTAATGTTACAATACAGCAACTGAACAGAATACTATGCAGCTGTAAGAAAAAAAGCCATCTCTATATGTCTCCATAAGGAGCCCTGGTGGCACAGTCATTAAGGGCTTAGCTGCTAACCAAAAGGTCAGTGGTTTGAATCTACCAGCAGCTCCACGGGAGAAAGACCTGGCTATAGCCTTGGAAACCCTATGGGGCAGTTCTGTGCTGTCCTATAGGGTCTTTGAGTCAGAATCAACTCGACAGCAGCGGGTTTCGTCTGGATATGTCTCTATATGTACTGATGTGAAAAGACCTCAAGGTCTTTTGCCAAGGGGTGGCAAATATAAAGTAACTGAGATCATTTTGAAGAACAAGTAGGAGAGCCTTGCCTTCCCAGATACCAAGAACTATTACAAAGCTATAGTAATGAAGCCTGTAGGGTTAGCTTGAGACCAGACCAGCAGACCAGTGGAAGAGAATTGAGCTCAGAAACTGACCTGTGCTTATAGGAGGCCCTGACATATGACAACCCCTACCTGTAGCTCAGGGGTCAGCATTCTTTTTCTGTAAAGGGCCAGATTTAAAAAAAAAACCCAAACCCATTGCTGGTGAGTCGATTCCAAGTCATAGTGACCCTACAGGACAGAGTAGAACTGCCCCATAGTTTCCAAGGAGTGGCTGGTGGATTCAAACTGCTGACCTTTTGGTTAGCAGCCATAGCTCTTAACTACCACACCACCAGGTTTCCGAAGGGCCAGATAGTATAGTTTTTAGGTTTTGCAGGCCCTATGGTCACTGTCAAAGAACCCTGGTGGTGCAGTGGCTAAGCACTCACTTGCTGATCAGAAGGTTGGCCTTTCGAACCCACCAGCCTTTCCACGGGAGAAGGGTGTGGCAGTCTGCTTCCATAAAGATTTACAGCCTTGGAAACCCTATGGATCAGTTCTGTCTGCACACACGGGGTCGCCATGAGTCAGAATCGACTCGACAGCAACAAACAACAATGGTCTCTGTCACAACTACTCCATTCTGCTGTTGTAGTGTAAAAAAGCAGCTATAGAGCATTACAATATGTAAATGAATGAGCATGGCTATGTTCCAATAAAACTTTATTTACAAAAACAGTAGATGGGCTGGATTTTGCCAATGAGATGTAGTTTGCTGACCCCTGCTGTAGATGAGTGGTAAAAGGACAGACTAATCTGTGAGTAAGGCTGAGAGATATGGAAAAAAAGTGAAATGGGATTCTGTGGTAGGCAGAATAATGCCCCCCACCAAGATGTCCACATCCTAATCCTGAGAACCTCTGTGTTACCTTACACATGGCAAAAAGGATTTTGCAGATATGACTAAGAATCTTGAGATGGGAAGATTATCCTGATTTCCAGGTGGCTCCAATGTAATTACAAAGTTCCTTATATTAAAAAGAGGAAGGCAGAAGAGTCAGAGAAGGAGAAGTGATGACAGAAGCAAAGGCTGGAATGATGCAGGACCACGAGCCAAGGTCTATGGGCAGCCTCTAGAAGCTGGAAAAGGCAAGGACACAGATTCTTCCTTGAGCCTCCAAAAGGAACTCTGCCCTACCGACACCTTCATTTTAGCCCACTGAGACTGATTTCGGACTTCTGACCTCCAGAACTCTAATAAATCTGTGTTGTTTTAAGCAACTTAGTTTGTGGTAATTTGTTACAGCAGCAACAGGAAAGTAATACAGATCCCTACCTCACACCATACACAAAAGCAGTTTTCTGGTGATTCAGGATCTAAATCTGAAAAGCAAAACTCTAAAACATTTACATGGAAATAAAGGAAAATATCATAGTGACCTCAGAGGTAGAGAAAGTGTTAAGACACAAAAAGTTTAAATCATAGCAGAAAAGACTGGTAATTTTGAGCAGAAACAAATGTAAAGTTACAACTATGATAGAAGAGAGAGGTACAGTATTATAAGAACATATACTTGGCATATACTATTATTTAGAAGAGGTTAGGGAGGGTCTTCTTGAGGAGGTAATGTTTGAGCTGAGATCTGAAAGTTGTGGAGAATGGAATGAGAGATGGTTTGTAGAAAGTATCCAGCCTTAGTAAGGGGTACAACCGAGCAGGTCAGTGGAAATTAGCACACTGCTGGACTGCCATCTACTCAGAGAGGCCTTGGGGGTGAGGTGGGGCAAAGATTCCACTCCCTCCTCCAAAGCTGACAATGCTGCTTGCATCTACTTTTACATATAGGGGTGCCCTGGAGGATTTCCTCCAAAGCAACAAACCACTATCAATGTTTTAAAGACATAAATTTACTTCAGAGGTGTTGATCTACTCCAACTTTACGTTGTGCAAATGGGAAATCCAAGGCCAAGAGAAATGAGATTTACCCACAACCAAACAATGGGGCAGCAGCTGAGCCAGGGTGAATCCTGATGCCCTGCTACTCCTTGAAGAGGCCAGGCACTCTCCTTGCCTGAGGGCCTTTGCACTTCCTTTTCTTCTGCCCATGAGGGTTCCCCCAGATACTCCTTTACTTCTCCCAAGTCCCTGCAGAAAGGACGTCCTCAGAGAGGCCTTCTCCAATCACCCTATCTAAACTATGCCACTATTCCCCATCACTCTACCGCACAGCCCTGCTTGATTTGTCCTCACAGCACATATTACTGCTTGATACCACAGCTCACACTCACCTTCTCTCTCCCCCGGCACAAAAGCAGGGACTTGTGTCTGCTTTTTCACACTGCCTTCCAGTGTCCCACACATGGTGGGTACGTTAGGAAGAATAACACCACCTCCCCTTCTCCCCAAAGATGTGCACATCCTAATCACCAGAACCTATGTTTGGTTATGTGGTAAAAGGGAATTAAGGTAGTAGATAGAATTAAGGTTGCTAATCAGCTGACCTTAAAATCAGGGCCTTGAACTGGTTCGTTCCAGTTTGAATCCCTGCTGAGAATTTGTATTTCCACCCCAGATATACTGAATCAGAATCTACATTTTAACAAGATCCCCAGGTGATTGTTATGTATAATAAATCTTGAGAACCACTGCTCTACTAGTGGTTCTCAGAATTGGTCCTTCATCAGCAGCATTAGCATTGCCTGGGAACTTGTTAGAAATGCAAATTCTCAGCAGGGGTTTGAACCGGAATAAACCCGTTCGAAGCCCTGCTTAAAATAGGGAGATAATGCTGAATTATCGGGGTGAGCCCAATGTAATCACAAGGATCCTTAAATATGGAAGAAGGTGGCAGAAAAAAATCAGTGTCTGACTGATGTGAGAAAGACGACGGCCATTGCTGGTTTTAGAGACAGAAGGGAAGTGGAACGTGGGCAACCTCTAGAAGCTGAAAGAGGCACAGAAACAGATTCTCCCTTACAGCCTGATTTTTAGCCCAGTGATACCCATGTCAGACTTGTGACCTCCAGATCTGTGAGATAATAAATGTGTGTTGTTTTAAGCCATTACGTTTGTGGTAATTTGTTACAGCAATATCAAACTAATACAGTGGGTGATCAGTACATGTGTGACAGAACAAACGAATGAGGGAATGCAGACTCTAATACCACCCCCATCTTCCAGATGAAAAAGCAAAGGTTGAGAAAGGGAAAGGATCGAGATTGGTGGCTCTTGGTTGGGTAGTGAGGCAAAAGTTGGGAAAGGGCTTGGAATGTCCAAGAAAAAGTTACCCAAAGGTCAGCTATAAAACCCAGCCCTGACCCTGCCCTTTGGCCTGCTCAAAACACTTCCTGACCCCTGTCCCTGCCACCCCCAGGATGAAGTCCAAGGTGCTCGGCCTGGCATTCACAGACATTCAGGAGAGCACTGTCCAAAAGGACTTTCTGTTCTCTGTCTGCGTTTTCTGGTACGGTAGCCACTAGCCACATTTGGCTACCGAGCACCTGAAACATGGCTAGTGTGACTGAGAAGTGAATTTTTCATTTCATTTAATTCTGTTGTTGTTGTCATTAGGTACCATCGAGTCGGTTCCAACTCATAGCAACCCTGTGTACAACAAAACGCAGTACTGCCCAGTTCTGCGCCATTCTCACGACCGTTGCTATGTTTGAGCCCATTGTTACAGCCACTGTGTCAATCCATCTCATCAAGGGTTTTCCTCTTTTTCACTACCCTCTACTTTACCGAGCATGATGTCCTTCTCCAGGAACTGGTCCCTCCTGATAATAACATGTCCAAAGCACGTGAGACGAAGTCTCGTCATCCTCGCTTCTAAGGAGCACTCTGGCTGTACTTCTTCCAAGACAGATTTGTTTGTTCTTCTAGCAGTCCATGGTATATTCAGTATTCTTCACCAATGCCGCAGTTCACTGAATTTACATAGCCACGTGTATCTAGGAGCTACTGTACTGGACAGCACAGCTGCAAGGACTGTGCCCAGCTTTCCAGCTAAACCTGCCCCAAAGCCTCTACAGCAAAGGTAGCTTCACCAACTGCCCCAGGCACCAGGCTGGTTTCCACTTCCTGACCTTTGTCCATGCTACACCCTTGCCTAGAACACCATCCCATCCTCTGCCCTGATTCTCTCAGACCCAGCTCAGTTCCCACCTTCATTGTGTGGAGCCTTGAAGGGGGTCATGGATTTGGGTAGGCTGATTAAAATGCCCCTTCCCCCGTTCTACCTTCCAATTGATGGGATGTAAAACCATGCTGGTGACAGTTGTACTGCTTCTTCTGAGAGCCCTGGAGAGAGGGAGACAGCTCTGGCCCAGGAACCTGAGGCTTCAAGAGAGGCACCCTCCAGCCCAGGGTCCACAGAGGGACACCGAGATGCAGGAGGGGCTCAGGTCAGACAAGTCGAGGCACAGTGCTAAGTGTCAGATTCCCAATTCCCTGTCTCTTGTCCCCACAAGGGAGAGAGGGGAGGGAGGGAGCTCTGTCCTTCCCCACCAGACTCCTGATGGAGGGGCCCTCATTCTTCCCGGGACCCCAGGCCAGGAGTCTTAATGCAGGCAACCCAGAGTCCTACCCTCCCACAGAAGGGGAAAAAAAATCAAACAGAGGACCAAAAGCTGGGAGCATCTTTGAGGTTCTGGGAGATTCCTCAGCAAGAGAGGGTGACAGCTTGAAACCAAGTCACCTTTATTAAACTCATCCAGCGTGCATGTACACGTGTGCACACTGGTGTAAGCACATACTTCAGGCCTGGGGCACCACGCCATACAGCTGGTGGGGAAGTAACTTCTGCTTCTCGTTGCAACTGTAGATCCATCGGGGGCGGACGAAGGCCAGGGAGGGGTTGTCCATCAGGGCCTGCAAGGCGGGGTGGGGGTACAAGTGTGACTGTGTGAGTGAGAGGGGGAGAGTGGGGACGTGGAAGCGGCTCAGGCTCTCCCTCTCCCTGCCCCTTGGAGACTCACCTCCTCAAAGCTGGGGTCCCACTCCTGTGCAGTAATCACAAACTGGACCCTGTCACTCATATAGTCCTCGAGCTCCCTGGTGGGAGAGAAGAGGCAGAGGGGATGTCAGGGAATTGGTGTGTCCTCTCTCAAGACTCCTCCCACCTGTGCCCCCTCTTGGGTGCCAGTAGATCCCCCACTCCCTCATATGCCCATCTTGCCACAGCCATAGTAACAGTGGTTTCCCCCATCATTAATCCTCATCTCAGCCCTTTCAGAGGGGACAGGGAGCCTCACTTTGGAGGAGAGGATTCCAAAAGGGGAGGCAGGGCATTCAGGGCTGCCCGGCACAGAGGGCAGGGCTGGCATCCGAGCCCCATGGCCTTGTGCCCATCCTGCCAGGCACCCCCTCCCCGTCCTCCAGATCATCTTCTTTCCCACAGCCTCCCACCCCTCCCACCACGTCCCCGAGCCCACATCAACCACCCACAGAGACTCTGACCCATTGAAGGCTGTGACGTATCGAATGAGCTTCCGCCGCTCATCCCCATGGAACTCCCCGTACAGGAAGAAGTGTTTGCCCTGGAAGAAGTCTGCAAGAGAGAGGCGGGAAGGGATGGGTGAGGCCACCGGAGTTCCCAGGCCCCGGCCAGGGGTGACAGAACACTTGGGGCCAAGACAGGGAGGCTGGTGCCGAGGAGAGGTGTATTCACACCCAGGTGGAGAATCAATGACAAGCCCAGCCCAGACCCATCAGAGCCTTCCAGGGAGACTTCTTTTTGTTTTAAAGGCAAAAGACGCAACTACTGTTATTGCTACGTGTGTGTTCCACGAGGGAACTCAGACAGGCTGCCGATGGTTGGGAACTCAATAGCCGGCCGCTTCCCCTCAGCTTTCTCCCTCCGTCCCAGCCAGTACCTTCTCTCGCCTGACCTCTGCGATTGCTCATTCTTCTTGCCGTTTTAATGATTTTTCAGGCCATCGATTTGCTCATGCCATTTGTTATATGGGTTGAATTGTGTCTCCTCAAAATAAGTATTGAAATCCTGGCCCCATACCTATACATGGAGCCCTAGTGGCGCAGCAGTTAAGAGCTATGGTGAGCTACAGCTGCTAACGAACAGGTCGGCAGTTCGAATCCACCAGCTGCTCCTTGGAAACCCTATGGGGTAGTTCTACTCTGTCCTGTGGTGTCACTATGAGTTGGAATCAACTGGACGGCAACAGGTTTGGCTTTTCTTTGGTTAGTTAAACCTCTACATGTTATCAGAAGGATCAGTCCCTGGAGAAGGACATCATGCTTGGTAAAGTAGAGGGTCGGCAAAACAGAGGAAGATCCTCAAGAAGATGGACTGACACAGTGGCTACAACAATGGACTCAAGCACAACAACGATTGTGAGGATGGCGCAGGACTGGGCAGTGTTTCGTTCTGTCGTACACAGGGTCGCTATGAGTCAGAACCGACTTGACGGCACCTAACAACAGCAACAACATACTATACGACCCCATTTGGAAATAGGATTCTCTACAGTATATACATGTGGTCACACTCGAGTAGAGTGGGTTCTAAATCAAATCACTTCTTAGTTATAAAAAGCAGATTAGACACAGAGACACACACACAGAGAAGAGGAAGACGGACAATGGAGACAGATGCATCCACAAGGATCGCTGGTAGCTACTAGAAGCTGAGAGAGACAAGGAAGGACCTTCCCCTAGAGCCATGCCTAGAATTTGAACCTCTAGCCTCCTGAACCGTGAAAAAATAAATTTCTGTTCTTTCAAGCCACCCACTTGCGATGTTTGTTTAATAGCAGCACTAGGAAACTAAGACACCCCTTTTGGGGCTTTGGAGGTTCACGGTACTTTCTGCCCGTCACCCATCAGGAACCAGGTGGAAACCGCTTTTCCAGGGGCCACTGACTGCTGAGTCTGCTGAGACCCTCTGACTTCCTTTCTTCTTCTCCCTCCATCTAACCCCAGAGGCTCTTATTCCCCCAATCCCACACCCTCCTGCAGAGTTTCCCCACTTGCTTTGCTTCTTATTCTTTTACATCAGAAAAGCAAACACACACACACACACAACCTGTGCACACAGCATCCACTCTGGGTGATGAGTACTGATGAAATGAACACCCTTGTGACTACCACCTAGGTCACGGCAGAGATCAGTGCTTGGCCCCACACGGACCAGGCCCCCCACAGACAGACAGAACTGAATCTAGAGGTGGGCCCAGGTGGCTCTGAGGCCTAGGGAAAGTGAGAGCACTGGCCTGAGGGAGGCGCCATTCACACCTGGAATGGGCTGGGCTGGGCTGCGATGGGGTGATGGGCAGGAAGTCAGGAGGTGGGACAGAGAGGGCATCACAGAGAGGATGCTAAAGGGAAGGGAAATGAGCCTGGGAGAAGGAGGAGGTGGCAAAGGCAGGGAGTGGGTGGGGAGGAGAAGGGAGACTAGTCCTGGGGACAGCAGTGATCCCAGGGCTGGGGAGGAGCAAGTCAGAGCTGAGAACTGAAAGGGACAAATCCCACTTGAGGAGGAGGGAGGGAAGGAGTTCCGACCTGGGAGCTCGGGAACCGGCAGGGTGGGAGACCCTGGGCGCTCCTCGGTGTCCGTGTTCTCATCTGTGGAGCCTGCATACGGGTCCTCCTCATTCTCCTGGCCTGGGGGCTGCCTCTGCTGCCTCTGCTTGGCCACCCTGGGGAGCAGAGAGGGGTAGATCAGTATGCAGACCCTACACCCGAGGGCATAGCCACCCTAACCCCTAGCCCCAACCCTACCTTCTCAGCTCATCCTCGGTGTCCCCAGAATCTTCCGCCCCATTGTCCTGTCCTTCTGCAAGTGGATGCTTAGTCACAGGAGGCACCTATCTTGTTGTCTGGGAAACTGGCAATCCTCCCTCCACCACACTTGAGCACAGAACATGGCATTCCAACCCCTAACATCAAGTGCCCTCCAGATCTAGTTGTTCAGACCCGGAGCCCCTCCTCCCTCAGACCCAGGAGTCTGAGCCCCCAGCCCCCTCCTCCCTCAGACCCAGGAGTCCAGCCCCCAGCCCCCTCCTCCCTCAGACCCAGGAGTCGAGGCCCCCAGCCCCCTCCTCCCTCAGATCCAGGAGTCCAGGCCCCCGGCCCCCTCCTCCCTCAGACCCAGGAGTCGAGGCCCCCGGCCCCCTCCTCCCTCAGACCCAGGAGTCC